TTTCTCCACTAAAACACTCCTGACATTTAAGACCATTTTTATGAAAGAAAGTCACGTGACAATAGTCTCTTTCACGGTTCCCTACGCCATCTTGAAAGGTGCCTTTATATCGCAGCGACACAACCGTTGAGCGTGCAATGATAGAAACCTGTGAATAATTGTCTGTAGGTGTGAAAGAAGTTTTCTGTCATTGCACATTCAACCGTCGTCTCGCTTCGATGCAAAGGCACAGATACCATCCAAGATGGCGCTGGGAACCATGAAGCAGGCTTTCGGAAGATGGGACATGTCCTACGTATTTGACAAATTAACAAATTGCGCATGGTTTTGAGTTGTATGTCTTATTATTAGCACACTCTTGACGTCATATAATGTTCAAAAGTGGACTCACGAGCGCAGAGAGTGGCTTTACTGCAATGGTTTGAACATTTTATGACGTCAAGAGGGATTCAATAAGAGGACATACAACTCAAAACCATGGGCAATTTGTTTTTTACCACATTGTTAGTCTCAAAATTAGCGAAAATCATTCTTTTTCTTTCAATTGAGCCCTCGCGCAAAACGTGATGGTGTCAGCAAAGTGTAGATGTCCTCTAATTGACACTCTCTAATCAACCAATCAGCGCGCGAGAATTTACAGAAGTGTAGTAAAAAAAGAATGCCACTTTACTCACGAACGAGGTCACGGGATTGACAGGGACTGCCTTCACCGCTGGACAATCAATCAATGTCAGTGCTGGCTCATTTACATGGAGAGAGCTTTTTCCAGAAATTATGACTTGCACAAAGCGTCTAGAAGTGAACGAAATGACGCCGTTAGTATTACTTAGGGACCTCTCTTACACGGGCACCTCTACAGTACGGACACTTACTGGTCATTACTGCAGTGCAGGACGTGTCTGGCTGTAAGTGGTCGCTTAAATGAGCAAACAACCTCAGAAACAGTCGCCGGCTGCAGCCATTTACAGCAAAACGTCATATTATGCTCCACTTCCTCCATCTGCTCACTCTGCTTATTCAGCCCTGCTTCTACAATCAGATCAAACTCTAGTTTCTCATAAGGTCCGCACTTTGGTAGCGTCACTATGGCAACAGATGACGTAGGGTCCTCGCCCTCGTGGAATGATGGGAATGTAACCTTATAAGGCCTTTGATTTTTTTCAGGATTTAGTTCGAGGTTAGAGGAGCCGTACGCGTTTCCAGAGACTAAGTGGAATTTTAGTTGTGCTTTCGAGGTTATTTCGAGTTTAGAACCTTCTTCGATTGTGCCTGGGCCTACTGAGATGGTGGCACCAATACGTTGAGACACGCCGACAAGTAAATCTGAAAGAAAGTAACAAGTGAAAAAAGCTTAAATGGATCTTTAAGTTAAAGAATTAAGAATCATTCTTAAATGATTTTTCGACCAATTTAACTAATAATAAACACACATCAAAACCTTAATATACTCTATTACTTTCCCGTTTTCTCGTCTACTATTATTTTGTCATCGAGGCAAAATACTCGGCTATTAAGTTGACTATTTAAAATAGAAACCAGACGCTCTTAGAGCGTGAAGGCGGGCTACCCATTTTGGAAAATTGAGAAATGAAAGGATATTATGTGGGCGCACGCAGTGATTTTTAACACGAGAAGATAAAATTCGTATCTCCAAGCGACCATGTAATATTCTGTTTATCATATAATCATATATGAAAGCGAACTATGTCGTAAAATGCCTGTTTTTACTTAAAATATACGGAAAAACCTCGAATGTATTATTCTTAACTAGTGAAGATAATAACTTTTCGAAAGAGAGAAATATAGGTATTTATAGATAGTTCAATATGATAAAGACAAGATATTACATGGGTGCACGGATACGCGAGAAAGTGAAAGATTTTTAACGCTAAAGATAAAAGACAAAATTCGTATCTCCAAGCGAACATGTAACATTCTGTCTATCATATGATTATATATGAAAGTAAATACCGCGACGAGAGTCGATTCAAGAATGTCACTAACAGAACACGCCATGCATACGGTCAGCGGTTCAATTCCAATTCTCCCATGTGGTTGTACGAGTTTGGGTTCTTATATGTAATAGGACTCCATGCTGTCCAATTAAGAAATAATTGGACGAGGAAAATTCCGAGGACTGCCAAAAATTGGACGAGGCCGTGGCCCAAATAGGTAAAAGCCAACCACAGCTTTTAACAAAAACCCAATTGAAAACCTGTCCAATTAATTTCTTAATTGGACAGGATTCCAAAATTAACGAAAAATCCAGCTTTTACCTATTTGGGATTAATATGTGGCTATATAATTANGCAGGAGATTATTACACGCGATTCGCTTCGATGAATATTCGGTCTTTAAATGGGAACTATACAGGCGTTCCTTTCACAGTAGAATAAGAGACTGGGCACTAGTGTCTAGTCTATTACAAAGGTCAGTACAATCTGATTACAAATGCTTTACAACGTTCAGTAAATACTGGACTACAACGTACGGGACGGGTGGATATAATTATAGTTATGTGAAAGGTAAACTACCTACGGTTTGCCCGACTAAATATTTCATTGTCTCAGTATTAAGTCATACTGATGTACGTTTGACGTTAACTGTCAATATTTCCATGGCAACCAGTATCATGTGATATTTTTGGAAGAGTTGAACAAAGCTATCGTTTGTCTTGTGATCTGTCTAGTTTACCGTCTGACCAACATGGCRGAACTTAACACTTTTACTGACGACTTGGAAGCACAGTTAACTTGTGCTATTTGTAACGATATCTTTACTGATCCAAGGACACTACCGTGTCTACACACTTTCTGCTTTAAATGCATCAAAAGTTGGAAAGAAGCTTGTCAGAGAGGAAGGAAGAGGCTGAGATGTCCAACTTGTCGAGCAGGTGTCAAGATCGAAGGAGACGACATCGCGAAGCTTCCTTCTTCGTTTACTTACAACTCGCTACTTCAGCTATTCAATGTCATKAAGACCAAGGCYGAYGAACACAACCAACAGCAGCTTCCAGAGTGTGTAAGTTGCAACAAACGAAGCGTATTGGTTGGWTTTTGTSCYCAATGTGAAGGAATGATTTGYAATGAATGCAWCAACCAACACAAAACAGTAAAGCCATTRATAAAAACCCATCAAGCAACGCTTTGGAGCGAAYTCAAGACACAAAATGTCAACAGCTACATCAACAATCAAGCCWTTTGTAAGGAGAAATTTCACCAGAAATGCCGTCTCGATTACTACTGCATAACGTGCARAAAGTGTATTTGTCACAAATGTTCTGCAACAGCGCACGGCAACCATGACAAGGTCAGCATCGAGGAGGCAGCTGAAGATGCTAAAAARCTTATTAGAAAAGAAAAGRAYCKACTGRAYGAGSTGCTTATCGGTTACAAGAAAGAATTWGAACTGTCCAATGAAAATATGACAAGGATTCAAAGAGAGGTTGACACAGCAAAGGCAAAAGTACAAAATGACACACAAGCTCTAATGAAGATTCTACAAGACCGCCAAAACGCTTTGATTGCTACCTTAGACGGCCTGCTTGCAGAACAAACAACAGCAAATGAAGACGAGAAAAAAGAAATCAACGCCAACATCCAACAAGTCACTGAATTGAAACATCAGTGTGAAACAACGGAAGAGAAAAACTTAGAAAAATTGATATTAGAAAGCTACGAAAATTTACTAGAAGTTTGTAAAACTACAGCGCACAACAAGTCCGTCTTATCGACCAAACCAGTCAATAACTCAAGTATTCGTTTCATTCCAAACCCGGAATTTCTTCCCCTAATGCAAAAAGTCAAACTCGGCGATGTAGCAGAAAGCGTGACAGATCCGTCATGTTGTTCTATGCACTCTTCAACAAAGATCAGATGTGGTTTTATCAATGAAGTTCTTGTTTTGACAAAAAATTCACAAGGAAATGCATGCCACACCAGTAAAGGAATGATTGATGTTCAAATCCAAGATGTCGACGGCAACAATGTGCAGAAAGAACTGACCGAAACTGAAACTGGGAAATTCCTCGTAAAACACAAAGTAGAGAAACGCTCACTTTATAAAGTTGTGGTGAGTATTGGAGGAAAGGAAATCAAAAACTCACCACAGAACATTGAGACAATCGATGCTAAAGCAGAATTTGAATCCTTGGCGATAATTGATGTCAAAGAGAGGATGTCCGGCCCTATTGCACTTGATGTAAGTCATAGTGGTGATATTGCTGTGGTTAATAATTCCTATTTTGAAAAGGATTTCCGTGTTGTGTTGTTCAATGCTGATGGAGAGTATTTGCGAGACATTGGTGGTGCAGGATCAGGAGATGGTCAGCTGAGTGATCCAACTGGAGTCATCTTCAATGAGGATAAAATAGTGATCACCGATAATCCAGGTGATCGTGGCTGTATCAAGGTATTTGGCATCGATGGTAACTACAAAAGAACTCTTTGCAAACTACCTGAAGGAATGATGTTGCAAAGAATGTGTACAGTCAATCAAACTATGGCGTGTTTGTATTACAATAAGAATAGAAAAGAGACATTTATTAAATTGTTTGACATACACAGTTGTGATCACCTTCATGACATCAAACTTGATGTTCCTGATGATGTTCATGGGATGCCTGTCTCATTAGCTTATGACAACAATAAGTACTTTGTATCGTTTTATAGTATGAGCATTGTTTATGTTTTTGACGAGAATGGTGGTCTACTGTACACGATTGGAATGAAAGGCAACAAAAAAGGTCAGTTTAACGGTGTAAGTGGACTTGCCGTGTTTGGTAAAGAAATGCTTCTTGTCTGTGATGGATATAATCACCGCGTACAAGTCTTCAGTCAAGACGGTCAGTTCATAAATTCCTTTGGTAGTAAAGGTGCAGGTCTTGGTCAAATGAATGATCCGTATGACGTTTCTGTTACACCAGAAGGTCGAGTATTTGTGCTTGAATGGAATGGCAAACGAGTGCAGGTGTGGAGATGAGATCTGTTGACTGCCTTCATAGCGGTGTACCCATGAAACAAATACTAACTGTTACACACCAAATATGTACAATTGTAGTCATAGAGAACATGTCCTAAATCATTTATCCTCCGTAGCAGCAGAACGTTTGTTTCTATCTTATTTTAGCAGGACCAAAATCCCAGGTAAAACAAATGATACACTCCAATTGACATTTTATGAATCATATTCATTAGGAATGGAATCAATATATTTTCTTTGAATTCTAATTTTTCACTCAAAATACTAGATCATTATACTCCGTATAGAAAATAATAATTCAGACTAATGTATGTGGCTCATTGTAATTTTTAAGCAAATATTGACGTTATAAAATAAAATAATTCGAATTTTAAGAGACCCTTAAGAGACAATTAACACTTTTGCGAAAATTTAAATGTCAAACATCTAGAGTTCAATGCGAA